GTTGGGGGGAGCTTGGTTTTGGGCTATTCCTTTTCTTTGTCTGTGGGGTGTGTGTGATCAGTCTCAGCTAAGAAGCTTAGTGATGCACATGTCTGACTTTTGGATCTATCAATAAAGTGCTGTTGATTCTTTAATCAAACTGACTGATTGATTTTTCAAGGTGCTGGTGCTAACTCTGACAGCCTTCAGGTTGTTTTCAGCTTATGGCAGGGTTTTCTCATCAAGATTTGTTCAGAGGAGGTTTGCCATTGCCTTCCCCTAAAGCTGACAGCATATGTCCTGCCCAAGGTCACCCAGTGGTTTTCATGGCTGAGCTGGGAATTGAACCCTGGTCTCCAGAGTCATAGTCCAACATTCAATCCACTGCACTATGCTGGCTCCAACTGGACCCAGTCAGCATAGCCCAGGGGTAGGCAACCTTTCCCCTTTAAGGGCCGAGGGACTTCAGCTCCCAGAAGCCTCAGCCGTGTTGGCCAATAGTCCCATGTTGGCCAGTAGATCCTGGGATTCTGGGAGCTGAAGTCCCTCGGCCCTTAAAGGGGAAAGGTTGCCTACCCCTGGCATAGCCACTGGTGAAGAATGCTGGGAGCTACAATCTAGCACAGGGGTAGGCAACCTTTCCCCTTTAAGGGCAGAGGGACTTCAGCTCCCAGAATCCCAGGAGCAATTGGCCAACATGGGACTATTGGCCAACATGGCTGAGGCTTCTGGGAGCTGAAGTCCCTCGGCCCTTAAAGGGGAAAGGTTGCCTACCCCTGATCTAGCACTATCATTCATACTTGGATGTGTATACTACACAGAAGTTTTGTTATGTATGAAATAGTACTAACTTACAGTTCAACTAACTTTAATGAATAATTTGAGCAACTGTGGGGAATGTTATGTCTTAATTTTCAACAACAAAATTAGGGTTTTGAAATAAAGGGGGTGGCAAGGAAAGGCTGGGTTGTGTGGGAAGGGCATCATGAAATTCTGGATCTAGATGTGTATTAAAGTACATTCTTACTGTGATACTGAAACTTTAGTTGTCTAAGTTCAATGAAAATGTAGTTGCCATGCACATCCAGAAGCATTCATGGAGCTTTGATGCAAGTAGCTTTGCTCTTTTATTTCAGTGAATGCACCAATGTCTCGTTCTCATGTCTTTGTGCATGTGGAGATACCTCCTACATAGAGATGAAAGAGGAAGTGTTGTAGATGGAAAAACTCTGTATGTACACTGGAGTCTCATCTATGCAAAAATGAAGGTCATCCAGACAATTATGGTTGGTAGGAATGTATTAATGTTGCAGTTGGTGTGCCCTGTCTTTACCACTTCTATTGTGACATGATAAAATTGCTTTAATTTGCCACACTGGATAGGAATTTGTTTTGTAAAAAATGCACCATACTGTTAAAGCATGCTATTTGAATAAAATAATGTATATATTTTCATATGCTGTCCTTGAAGTCTTAGTGCATACATCCCTAGCACATACATCTTTAATTTCTTCAATTAAGGAAAATAAAAGGGCAAGCGGAGTTAGATTTTAATTATTCATAGTTCATTTGAGAAAAAAATGTTCTTAAAAGAGAGAAAGTAGAGCTGTGCTATCTGTCAAAAGGAGAAAAATAATAGATAAAAAAAGCCACTTTATGAACTATTCAATAATATGTATGTTTCTGCTTTCATTAGATACTGTGCTGTGAGAAGGAAGATGTGTGTGGGAAGAACTACCCGTTGGGCTTCTGGGAGTAAAATTCCTTGAAATGTTCTCCAGCTCTTCAACTTGTCTCTACAAAGCCACAGGTAAGCTAGAGAACACCTGGAAGGCACCTGGGAGGGTTAAATGTCGGATTCACTACTCTGATGATATTGTTAACACAAGGCAATTGTTTAAATCCATGCTTGGGCTGCATCTATGCTGCAGAATTAATGCAGTTTGGAACTGCTTTAACCACCATGGTTCAATGCTAGTGGATTGTGGGATTTTTAGTTTTGTAAGCTATTTAGCCTTCTCTGTCAGAGAGCTCTCATGCCACAACAAACTGCAAATCCCAGGATTCCATGAGATGGGGCCATGAAAGTTAAAGTGGTGTTAAACTGCATTAATTCATTTAGTTTTGAGGCACAGTCAGCCCTCTGTATCCATTGATTCTTTATTCATGGATTCAACCATCCATAGCTTGAAAATATTAAAAATATACATTCTAAAAAACAAATCTTGACTTCGCAATTTTATATAAGGAACACATTTTACTTATTCTTAAAATGCAGCAGCAGCCTTAGAGTTGTAGTAGAAAAACTTACTTTCCCATATAGCTCTCTATATGACATAAAAATATGCCGTTGTATGACCCACCCACCCCCTGACAGCAGCACCCTTGCCTGTGTTATCTGTGCAACCCTAGATCTCTTAAGTCTCATACAAATCAAAACATATTTGGATTATTGTCAATTCTCTTCTTGTGCAAAATTGTCCAGATGACCACATCACAGTTGCTCCATGGATAAATTAAGATGGTTAATTTAGGCAATTAAAAGGTAATGGTACCCCCTTTGACAAGGTGTCTAGTTATGCCCAACTGTAGGGGGCAGTGATTAATTCTGTTACTAAGCCGCAGAGCCAGCGTTGTCAAAGACAACTCTGTAATCTGGTGGCCAGCATGACTTCACAGAACAGTGTTACCTTCCCACCAAAGTGTTACCTATTTATCTACTTACACATTTATATGCTTTTGAACTGCTAGATTGGCAGAAGCTGGGACTAATGATGTGAGCTCATGCCATCACATGGTGCTTGGGTTTCAAACTGCTGACCTGTTGATTTTGCAATTGCCAGAATCAGCATCTTAACCACTAAGCCACCGCGTCCCATTAATTTAGGCAATTAGCATATCTTAATTCCACTGAAGGTACATTTAGAATGAATGGGCAGCTATGATTTTCAAATGTCACATGAGATTTGTAGTTTTTAACTTCCCATTGAGTCAGATACCTAAAATCCAAACTATATGTTATGGGTAAATGCACGGGTGCTGTCCACGTAGAACTTGTTTTATGTCTTCCTTGGGTTGTACATAAAAATAGCCAGTGCCTGGGAGCCATGTCTTTCATTATAGAAACTAGAATAGTATCTTTATGACAGCAGAAATAGGTGCTGGACTTTGCAAGGGCTATTTGCATATAATATAATACAAACAATACGTGGAAGAACTATAGGTTTACATTGTAGGACACCATACAGTGGATAACCTGCTTTTTCAAAGACGGCACTTGCTCACATATCTTTTGAGCTGCTATGATGACAATATATTGAGGATAGTTGTGTTTCTCATGTAATTTCAAACCAAAAGAGCCTCTTGGATTTTAAATCAGGTTATTTCAGACAATTCGAATGCTGCATCTAACAGCAATGACAACACTGCAAAGGAGTTTACAAATATTCCTTTTTGGATTAAAAATCCCAAACTCTTCAGCCAGCAGGGTTTCTGGGATCTGGAGTCCAATACATTTTTATTTTGTGTAAAATGTGTTTTTAACTTGTGTTTTAAAACAGAATTGTCCTTTATTTGTTAACTTTTGTATTAATAGTTTTTAGATGTACTTTGTTTTAACATTGTAAGCCACTTCGAATCCTGTTCTGGAATGATGACTGAAGAAAGTCAAGGAAGAAAGTGCAAAAGCAAGTTTACAGTTGAACATTAAGGAAACAAAACTAATGTCCACAGATGATTTACATAATTTTAAAGAAGACAATGAAGATATCAGTTCAATATATTCCATGCCTTGGATCAGTCGTTGATCAGAATGGCAACTGCAGCTAAGAAATCAGAAGACTAGGAATTTGAAGGGCAGCTATGAAGGACGTGAACAAGATCCTGAAGTGCAAAGATATATCACTGAATGCTAAACTTAGGAATGTCCATGCCATTGTATTTCCCATTTATATGGAGATTATCACCTGAGGGATGGGACATTATTGTCTTGTCCCTGTCCCATCCTTCCCGCCCCTTCTCAGGAAGGACTTTCATACATGACCTGCCATTAATCTGACAGGGAAGTTCAAGTGAAAGTGATTGCACAAACACTACAGTGGAGTGAAAAGTGCTTTCACCTGTCATTTTCAGTCTTTTGTATTAAAGAAGAACCCGTTAATACCATGACAGCTGAAAACGCTTTCAGCTGATGTCTGAAACTGCTTTTCAACCTGCTTTAGTGTAAAAGTGATTCACATGATCACTTTCAGTTGGGTCATAGGTGGGATAAGGATGAGGGAGCAATCCCATCCCTCATGTGATAATCTCCTATGTATGGTTGTGAAAGCTGGACAGTGAAGAAAGCATATAAAAAGAGAATCAACTCATTTGAAATATGGTGCTGGAGAAGAGTTCTGCAAGTACCATGGACTGCTAAAAAGACAACTCAAGCCAGAACACTCCCTAGAAGCCAAGATTATTAAATTGAGGCTGTTGTATTTGGCCACATAACAAGAAGACATGACTCACTAGAAAAGACAAAAGACAGTGAAGTAGAAGGCAGTAGGAAAAGAGGAAGCCCACATTCCAGGTGGATAGACTCAATCAAGGAAGCCACAGTACTAAGTCTACAAGACCTGACCAGGGTGGTTGATGACAGGGTGACTTGGAGGTCTCTCATGCATAGGGTCCCATTCATAAGTTGAAGTTGATTTAATGGCAGTTAGCAACAACAACAAATGGTACAAAGTGCAGTTTTAACAGACAATTCTGTGCTTAAGAAAGATCTAACAAAAGGATAAACTCCAGATTTATTTATTACATTTTTATCCAAACATTCATCCCAATATCTCCTGGCTATGTACTTGGTTCTTTCTCCTTTTTTCTTTACAAACCTGTGAAACTGAGGCTAGGCTAAGACAGACTAGCTCAAGTCAATCTGTGGGCTTCTCATCCAAGAGGAGTAATCTTGTTTTGGCAGTTTACCCATTGTACCACAATGACACTTTCTTAAGTGTGAAATGACCAAGTCACTGAAGTTGTTATAGACAGTTGCCTCATGTCATTGATTATGTTTTAACTGCTGGCGGTGGGATTGTTGTATTCTCTTGCAGGACAAAAAAAAATAAAAAATAAAAAAAATGAAGTCTTGCACACCTTAAAGACATTCTATTATTTATGGCTCAAGTCTATGAAGTCTCATGCTACCAATGTCTTTCTTTCAGTTAGTCGGAAAAGTGCTACAAGTCCCTTTGCATACTGATTTTTCTAACTAACACATTTATGTCTTTGAATTTTACATTTTATTATTGCATACATTTTGTAAACATTGTCCACTTCATCAGATACATGAAATGTGTCTGCAGTTGGTAGATTATAATATCTTTAATTAGTTTTTAAGATGCCAGAAGACTCCTTTA